CGCAAATTTCTTACGCAGATTGTGAAGTTATGAGTGCATTTCAGACTTTGCCGATGTGCCCATTGTGATTTCTAATCTTTATTCCCGTTTGTGACACTGTGAAGGCCTAAAATACGGGAACCAATCAAAAATGGATTCACATTGTCTTGACGTATAAAGGGACTCTAATCATGGCCGACGCCAATTCGCCAAAACACGTGTGATGAGACGAGATAACACCTGAACAAAATTAGACCAGATAACAATCGGCGTGTTTGCGTTCATTTTTTCCTCGCCCGCCTTGATTGACCCTGAACTCTCCTCGAAATACGCGCGGAACTGCGGAAGCGTCGGCCATGATGAACATTGCCGCCGATGGAACGACTCCTCTAACAAAATGTTCACCTGTGCCGTAGTATCGTTTTTGAAGCGGGAAGCTTAAAAAAACGCAAATTTCTTACGCAGATTGTGAAGTTATGAGTGCATTTCAACTTTGCCGATGCGCTCATCGTGATTTCTGAGGCATTATCTATAAGAAACAACTCTTATTTTTGCTCTAGCAAAAGTTTGCAACAGGCCCATTTTGCCAGCAGCCTGCCTCCTCTGAAGTTGATGTATCTTTTCTCAGTGTATCGTGCTACTGGTGCATAAAGCTTCAACACTTTCATAGACTTGTAATGCTTTGTATTGGAAAACTGGTTAACGCATTCACCCGTCAGTCGTGGTTACGTGTCTACTTAAACAAGCTACGCTTCACTTTGTTATTGCCTTTTGTTGCACTACTCTAATGAAATCAACTCAATATAACAAAATTAAAGATACTTGACCTCGAGCATTACTGTTAATTTGATTATTAGATAGTCTCTTTGATTCTGAGTCGGAAGTTGATTGACTCATCAAATTTGCCTGTTTTTGGATAAAATTTTTCAAATCAAGATCTTTCATATGACCTCTGCAGAAGGTTTTTTTGTTTCATGCATCAGAATTAAGGGACTGGAAGCTTAGAAAAAATGAAGTATATTGTAAAAATACCAGGCGGTCATTCTGAACGATTTTTAATACTTATGCATATAGGTATTGGTATTCTAGCAGATATACTCAATATAAAAAAGTCTCATTTTTTTAAGCTAATGCAATTGATGCATTTCATTCAAGAAAGGGCATCCCTGCCAAACCATGTTGAGAGAATCTCTTTTTAATAGATGTGTACCTCCAACACGTAAAATACTGTCAGTTCAGCCAATAAAAGGAAATGCCTATCACTGATATATTTCGCAGGGTTTTCGAGGTATTCCTGGAGCAATTGGCCCTCCTGGAATCGATGGGTTGCCTGGTAAAGATGGAGAACCTGGTTTTGCGGGACCTGTCGGCATGCCTGGAGAGAAAGGTGATAAAGGATTAGTTGGGTTACCCGGTCTTGATGGCTCAAAAGGAGAATTAGGTTTAACTGGTAAGTCTCGATTGCACAAATTATATTCCTTCTCTCTGATATGAAAATTTTCGAGCCCTGTACAGGGTGTTTCAGACCACCCGTACCAGGCCTTTTTCTCGGTTGTTTTAGGTCGCACGAAGTCAGAGATCGCGGGGATGAATAGGGAATCGACCCAAAGGAATCCGAATTTCGTGGTCCTGAAACCACCCCCCCCCCCTCGGGGGTGAAGAGGGGGTCACGATGCTAAAAGTCACGGTTCCCGACCAAATTGCGGATAGATCGCATCAGAATTGAGAAGCACGGAAAATTTCACGTGAAATTGACCCCTATAAATCTAAAATCGGACCGCATCTAAGGCCCAAAAATGACTCCCTAAAGAGGGGGACAGTACCCCCCTCCATAATTTCTCTTTGGTCTCAAAATTGACGTAGATTCTCCAGAAAAAGACGGTTTCCCAGGTAATCGACCTCCAGAAATCCAAATTTCATAGTCCCGAAGCTCCTCTAGCCCCCCTTGGGGGGTAAACGGGGGGACCCAATTTGAAAAATTGGGGCTCCTTTCCTAATTGCCAATTGATTGCATCTAAATTGAGGAGCAGAACACATTTACATCTTACGTGACTCCTAAGAGTTCTAATTGACCCCCTTGAATTGCAGAAAGTAAGTAAGAAAGTAACTCCCTGAGGAAGGGGGCCTCGCCTCCGCCAAAAATTTCTCAGGATTCCTCTTTGGTCGCAAAATTGACGTCGATTCTCCAGAAAAAGACGGTTTCCTATGTAATCGACCCTGAGGACTCTAAATTTCATGTTCCCTGAGCTCCTCGGGGTTGATTACATAGGGAACCGTCTTTTTCTGGAGAATCGACGTCAATTTTGCGACCAAAGAGGAATCCTGAGAAATTTTTGGCGGAGGCGAGGCCCCCTTCCTCAGGGAGTTACTTTCTGCCGTTCAGGGGGGTCAATTAGAACTCTTAGGTGTCACGTAATATGTATATGTGTTCTGCTCCTCAATTTGGATGCAATCAATTTGCGATTCGGAAAGGAGCCCCGATTTTTAAATTTCATGTTCTCTGAGCTCCTCGGGGTCGATTACATGGGAGACCGTCTTTTTCTGGAGAATCGACGTTAATTTTGCGACCAAAGAGGAATCTTGAGAAATTTTTGGCGGGGTCGGAGCCCCCCTCCTCATGGATTACTTTCTGCCGTTCAGGGGGGTCAATTAAAACTCTTGTGGGGTCACTTAAGATGTAAAAGTGTTCTGCTCCTCAATTTGGATGCAATCAATTTGCGATTCGGAAAGGAGCCCCGATTTTCAAAATTGGGCCTCCCCGTTTACTCCCCAAGGGGGGCTAAAGGAGCTTCGGGACCATGCAATTTGGATTTCTCAAGGTCGATTACTTGGGAAACCATCTTTTTCTGGAGAATCTACGTCAATTTGAGACCAAAGAGAAATTATGGAGGGGGGTACTGGCCCCCTCTTTAGGGAGTCATTTTTGGGCCTTGGATGGGCCGATTATGGATTTTTAGGGGTCAATTTCTCGTGAAACTTTCCGTGCTTATCAATTCTGATGCGATTAATCCGCAGTTCGGTCGGGAACCGTGACTTATAGCATCGTGACCCCCCCTTTACCCCCTGAGGGGGGTGGAGGATTTCGGGACCACAAAATTCGGATTCCTTGGGGTTGATTCCCTATTCAACCCCGCGATCTCCGACTTCGTACGACCTTTACCAACCGAGAAAAAGGCCTGGTACGGGTGGTCTGAAACACCCTGTATATACATACATAAAGTCGCTTTTATAGCGCCGCCTCGCGCTCTGCGACGCCCAATCGCCAATGCCCCCTATCCTTCCAGAGATCATCAGGCAATTGGCACCTTCTGATCTCCTCGTCCACCCCTTGTCGCCAACCTTTCACAGGACGTCCACGCCGTCGCCTTCCGGGAGGAACCCAATCGAAGACCTGCTTGGGTAACCGGTCGTCTGCCATCCTTCGCACATGTCCATACCAGACCAACTGCTTGGACCTGATATCGTGCACGATGTCCTTCTCTACACCCATGATCTCGCGTACTTTTACATTGCGGATACGCTCTCTTCTTGAGATGCGAGCAGACCTCCGCCAAAAGTCCATCTCAGTTGCCCTAAGCATGTCTTCAGTTCTTTTCTTGAGTTGCCAGACCTCACTCCCGTAAGTTACGATACTCTTCACGATGACGTTGTAAATTTTCCTTTTGGTCTTCTTGGAGATACTCTGGTCCCAGAGAACCCCATTTAGCATCGTGATAGCTTTCCTGCCATGCACATTCCGATCTTTAATAGCCCGATCCAAATTTCCGTCCTTAGTTAACCAAACTCCTAGATATTTATACTCTTCACAGTCCTGAATTTTCCGACCATCCTCCAGTTCAATGCTTTGCTGATCACCACCGATAACCAACTTCTCCGTCTTAACCACATTTACTTCCATTCCCCACTTTCGGTATACTTCCACTAGCTTCCGCGTCATGTAATTCGCATCTTCTTCGTCCTGAGCTATTACCACCTGATCATCAGCAAAGCACAGAGTATAAAGGGTGCCATCTTCACGTAGCGGGACGCCCATTCCCGAACAGCATCTTTTCCATTCCATTAAAACTTCTTCCAGGTACACTTTAAATAAGGTTGGCGACAAACAACACCCTTGTTTCAGTCCTTTAGTAATTAAAAACCCCAACGATAAGTCCCCATGCGATTTAACCTTAGAAAAAGCCCCACCATAAAATTCCTTAATAGCACTAATTAGTCCCCCACTAAAACCCCTTTTGTTTAAGGCTTCCCAAAGTTTCATCAATGGCACACTGTCGTAAGCTTTCTGGAGATCCACAAACACCAGATGTAATTCCTGGCCAACTCCCTTCTTTTTCTCGATGACGTGGATGATGGTAAATAAGTGATCAATCGTTGACCGACCGGCTCTGAAACCTGCTTGCTCTTCCGCTTCATGTTCTTTCCACTCCTCTTCGATTTTTGCTTTCAGGATTTTTCCATACACTTTGCTTAGGGTACCTGCAACCGACAGTCCTCTATAGTTATCACACTCATCTTTTCTACCCTTCTTCTTGTATATAGGTGACACCCAAGACTCTTTCCATTCTGTCGGTACTTTTCCACCGTCCAAGCAATCTTGCATCAGGTATCTCAACCGTTGAAACAGCTTGCAGGTTCCACACTTGATCAACTTAGCAGGAATATTTCCCGGACCCGGAGCTTTATCGTTCTTCAGCTCTCGTACGGCCTTTACCACGTCCTCCATATGGATCTCCAAGTTATGATTATCGTTAGTATACTCCAAGCTTACACCTCCATCTTGAAATTCAGGTCGCCTTTCTGTCAGTAAATTTTTAAAAT